AAGCGATAATGCCAAATTTATCCCTGAACATATCAATGCGATTAAAAGCTGCTAAATCGTGTGAATCTAAAGAAACTATTTTCTGTTTCAATTCCTTCTGTGTTCGAATTCGAGAAGAAATACTGTTAAACCTCGACCTGTGTGGGTAACTATCGTCGATGGTAACTACAAAGTTATTTATGAAACATTCGTAAGATACCCTGAAGTCGAATTCTTGGATTATAATTTCCATGGATTACAAAGAAAAGATTTCAAATTTGCAAGAAACTTACGAACTGTTCGTGATCAAGTTCTCCAATATTTTGTTTGTGCTACTCGTATTGTTGGTTATGGAATCATCAATCAATTGAAATTTCTTGGATTATCAAAGCCAGAAATTAATGAACTCCTACCACTAATGAGAGATATTAATAATTATTACTCTCCATTTTATTCATCACCTATGAATATGCAAACAATTGCCTACCTTTGGTTCACTGGTTATGTTATTACAAGTGACCCTCATTCTCCTGTTGTTGAAGCTATCACCGCATTGAGACTTTATCTCTTGCAACATGAATCAATTGAACAATTTGTTGAAGCTTCTCAAGATGGAATCCACTTTAAAAATGTTACAACTACATGTTCGAATAACATTACCTGTGCTCTTCTTTACTATTTTGATTATGAAGTCAAGAATAATCGACTAACTTGGCCTCAACAGTGGAAACAAAATCCTCGAATTAAACATATTCATCAATATGAAGAAGAAAAATGCTGTTATCCTGATCAAGATCTATTGAAAGTTCTTTTTCAACAAAGATATGATGAACTCACCGATGAGGATCAAAAAGAAAAGATCATCAATGATCATTCTCTTCTCTTCTCTGAAATTCCGAATCGTCAAGATTGGGCAAAGAAATACCCTGCTCTCAAACATTATCCTCATCTACTTCGTCAAGATCCTGAACCGATTCAAAAAGTCGAATCAATCAAATTGGACGAAAATCCAAATGAAATTAAAGTTCCTGAAACTTCAGAAAAATCTGAAAGTTCTGAAGTTAAGAAGAAGGATGAAAAAGAAGATACAAACGCTGCCAAAGACTGGGACGATTGGAACCCATGAGTTTGTTGATTAAATTGAAAGAGTGTCTTGGTCAAAAGCCGGGGGTTTGTAGGGTTAATTGTTACCCTCTCAATTTAATCAGTTCAAACTAATTAATTTTCATTTAATTTTCTTATTTTCATATATTCAAATTTCCCTCTTATGTTACAATTGACAATTAGAAATCGACCCCTTAAGATTTTCTATTCTTTTCTTTAATGTTCTTTCCGCTTCTTTTTCTATTGTTCCTTTTCCTTGTTTAATTCTCAAGTGAATTAATTCAGTTAATTTAGTTTAATCTAAAATATGTGGTTACTAGTTGATCTCAACTATTTCCGAATTCTTTTCTTATTTCCTTTTCCTTGTTAAAACAGTTAAATAGCAATGATCCAAATCAATTGGACACACTTCTTTGGTGCTACACTTAACCTGTGCTTCAGTCCCTTAAAGTTGTCAACCCTTTTCTTTTGTGTTTTTGATTTTTTGAATAAAAATCGTACTCAAGTTAATTACAAAGGTGATAATTGCTTGAATGGTAAAGTCTAACGCTGTAGTTAGCAAAATTTGTGTTTAACTGAAATTGTGTCAGTTGTATCAATTAAGTGCGAAAGATTCGCTGATTGAATTTGATTTTGTTCTGTTTATTGTATCAATTAAGTGCAAGGACGATTTGTGGCTGATTGAATTTTGTTCTGTTTGTTTGAATCGATTCAAAGGTTAAATAAAAGTTAAAGTAATCACCCACTCTAAGTGACAATCCAGTATCCGAATTATAAATTAAGTGTAGGGCTTAATGCGATCTTTTGATTGACCTAATCCGAATTTAACTATAACCCCTTCAAAATAATATCGTTTTACTAAATTGCTTTCATTTGCTTTTCTTTCCAAATTCATATTTGAAAGATTTAATAGATTCACCACAGTCTACCAATCTCTAATTGTCTAAATGTTACATTGTTATTGATTAACTTTCATTATTTGTTATCAACTTTAAATCAATAATTATACAATCAATTATTCACTAATGTACAATTGATTCACGTTGATTTCCCTTTATTCATGTTGATTTTTCCAATTGTTTCCCATTATCATTCGTTCAACGATTAACTTTTTTACTCTCTAATTAATCAATATTCAAGTTTCTAATAATCAATAGAACCATTTGATTATTATTACGATAATAATGATCAACATTTTCTTTATTATCATTGTTTCATTTAATTAATCAAAACATCAATTAATGATTTGATTTGGCAATGAAATTAACCATTTGTCTGTCTAACAAAGCTCATAGCCTGAAGGTATTTCAATCCATTCACTACTATTTTTGGAAACACTTAGTTAATTGTTGATTAACGTGGTTAATGTTAATCAGAATTACTTCCTACACTTTTGTCTCTTGTTGATTTTCAGGTTTATCTCTTGATTTCCTATTCTTTTCCTTCTGTTACCTGTTTATCTCTATGTGTGTTTTGTGTATCTCATTAATTATAACTAATATTTGATTGACGTAATTAACCTTAAATTATGAACAATTGTAACGTTTATTTTCACTTGTAGCAATTTAACTTTACCTTAATAATTAACGAAAAAAGAAACAACCTCAATCAGTTATCAAATGGAGTAAATCAGCTGAAATTATTAGATCTTAATTGTTTACCTATTTCTGTCTTTCTGTCTCTTTTTTTCATCAACAATTAACATCCATTGTTAATTGTGATTCACTTTTCAACTGTTTGCCAATTTTTTTTCCTCTAATTGAAAACGGTAACAATAACACAGTTTTCTCATCCATGTTATTAATACTTGATTTGACTTGTTAATTGTGATTATTTAATTTAAGATAAACACCATAACAATACATTCTAATCACTAATGGTTAATTGAAATTTATTTGCAAATTGTTGTGACATAATTTCAGTTAATTACTTGGTTTGATTAAATTTTCCTCTTGTCTCAACAAAATAACATTTGATCATGATTTTCATTAAAGTTGATTAATACGATTGTCATGGGCTTCCTTATTACAAATGATGATTATGTGATTTAATCACATTTGATTATTTAATCCAATAACTATACACTTGACAATCGACACTAATAAATAAATACTGATTTATACAGAAAGAAACACAATAATTATTAGATTATCTCTAAATTATATTATCAAAAAAATGTCAATCCTATTGTATTAATGATAATCTCATTAGATATCAACTATTACAATCAATAATTACTATAAGGTAATTAATGTTTCTAACAATACAAATGTTACAATCAAAAAAATTGCCTTTACCCCATGACCATAATTAGTAACTAATTATCTATTCATTTCATCATTCAGGTAAATTATTGTCGACTAGAAAATTGATCACAAACAATAATTATCATGTAAAAAAAAGGAGATGATTAATTGATTTTTCGTTGTCTATAACTAATTTAATTGTTATCCTTTCCATAGATGATTAATGAACTAATCCTACCCAATTTTTGATTTACTTAATAATTATATCCTCACATCACTAGGATTGGTTTTAAGTTTTTTAATTGCTCAGTTAATTACATCATTGAATTACTCACTCTTATAGTAACTTATCTGATTCTCACTCGTTTTTATCAACGGAAATACTATCCTTGATTATCCTCATCACTTGAGAAACCTTAGATGTTATGAATGAGAAAAAAAAAGGTTGGTGACCAGCTATTTACCTATGAAAATCAAACTTTTCAATCTATTTAAATTGTTCACACAATTGTGAACAATTTAGTTGTTGATGTTGATACTTTTCAACGGTTAACAGATTTTGTAAGGCTTCCTGTTCACACCATTAGCTATTTAATTGTAATAACTAACTAACTAATAGTTAAGTAAATCTGACTGATGAAATGACAATAGCAAATAATATTATTCAATTCACTCACCTTAATTTTGCATGTCAACTAAATAAACTCTTAAACTATCAATCCTTTGATCCATTTGTTGATTGTTGATCAACATTAACAATCATAATCTTAACTATTTCAACGATGTTATTATAATCATTTTTTTGCTTGAATTAACCTAAATTTTATAATCTGGTTACATCTTCCTGATCTTTATCACCCAGTTATATACAAAACAGAAGATTGAGTTTACCAATTTTCCATGAAATGAGATAAAAGAACCATGTCTTTTCAGAATCTTTTCAATTCTATTCAACTACTAATATATATTCTGATGTAATAATAACAAGGATGATAAGGGTAATGATAAAACCAACATTATTATCATCTGAACTTATATCGATTTAGTATAACCCAAGATGTTTAATATTATCTTAACTTTGCTATTTCTTTTAATTTGGTTCTGGTCAAAGTGTTTTCCTATGACAAATTAACCTTTGACATTATTTGATTGTCCAATCAATTTGCTTTCTAATGATCTTAATTGTTACATGATATGTTTTTTTATGGTAACTTACCTCCAAGTATCGTAATATTATTGATTTTTTGTCTCTTAATGATTTAGGTTTACAATTAGCTTTTTACAATTAAAGTAACATTGTACAATCAAGTTAAATATCATTGGATAACTTTTAGTTATAAAATTGGATTGAATCTAATCTTATTTATGTAATTTAATTTGAATGACAATTTCAAATTTACATCACTCAGTTTGTTTTTAATTATTGATCAAACTCACAGTCAATGCAATTATGATTAGTCCTCTCAATTTGCACGCAATTTGCCAATGCTAATTAATTTTTGTCATAACTTATTATTCAAGGGTAACTCCTTTTGATAACTCTAATCATCTCATAATATTATCATGTCTGGTTGTTGAAATTATGGATTCACTTGAACACACTCAAGATTTAATTACAATTGAATCAAGTCTAATTCTGAGCTTTTTGTTTATTTATTATTAAAATTCTAGGTCATATTAGTATTGGAGCATTGGGAGATAGTTTCTATGAGTATCTATTGAAAGCATGGATTCAATCGGGTGGGGAAGATGAAAAGGCTCGACGAATGTACGACGAAGCCATTGGTGCTATTGAGAAAAAGTTATTGAAAAAATCTAATTCTGGTTTATATTATTTCGCTGAGCTGAAATACGATCGGCTTGAGAATAAGATGGATCATCTAGCCTGTTTCAGTGGAGGTTTAATCGCCCTGGGAGCTCAGGCATTACCAACGGAGGAAAAAATAAAAGCGTTAAAAGTGGCCGAAGATGTTACTAATACCTGCCACGAATCTTACATTAGAACTGCCGTTGGATTGGGACCAGAATGTTTCAGGTAAATTTTCAATATCTTTTATCCATGAATGATCCAGATTTCTTGAATTGATCAGAAAATCATTATCTCATCACTTTAATCACATTCACAATAATTTAAATGAAAATTGAGTTTACAGTTACTTAACCAAGCGTAATAATTATGATTTTTTAATCAATTCATTTTCACTTATGTTCCGATTGTTAAGAAAAAAAATTTCTGCATTCAACTAATGTCAGTGTCTTTATTTTGATTATCTCTTTGATTTTTGATTGAACTAATTGTTTCTCTCCTTGATTGATTTTACAGATTCACCGATGAGTTGGATGCAAAAGCCTCCAGATCGGAAAGTTATTACATCCAACGACCTGAATTAATTGAGAGCTATTTTTACTTGTGGAGATTGACCAAAGACCCTAAATACCGTGAATGGGCCTGGGAAGCGGCCGAAGCCCTTGAGAAACACGCAAAAGTTATTGGAGGCTATTCTGGCCTAAGAAATGTTTACGATTTACAAAGTCAGAAAGACGACGTTGAACAAAGTTTCCTGTTCGCTGAGACATTTAAATATTTGTATTTAATTTTTTCCGATGATAATTATCTCTCACTCAATGAATGGGTTTTCAATACGGAGGCTCATCCACTTCCAATCAAGGGCAAAAATCCCGCCTACCCTAGTCAAGATGGAAAGTGGAAACAATAATTAACACCAATTAACAGATCACAAAGATTACAATGATGACAACAACAACAATTAACCAACCAGAAAACAAGCAATTTAACATAATTGTGAATCCTTTTTTCATTTCTTTTCAACCCCTGACCCTCGAGGGCAGCGGGTTTAATAGGAAACTTTTATCTTATATATATATGAGATTAGGATTAATTGTTAAAAGAATGTTTTTATCAGAATGTTTTTCAGATAATTTTTTCACTTTTTTGATAAAAACAATTTCTTTCTGTTGTTAATTTGTTTGGTTTTTTTTCTTACAATCAATTAGTGTTTCAATTATTGAGATTAAACAAAAAATAATTCAACGGTCGATTTCTGGTCTGAATACTCAGATTTTGACCTAGAAAAATAGGTTAATAGTTGTAATCTTTTCATTTATGATTAGGAAAGTTCTGATTACCAATTAATTACGCACATGTATCAACTTTTCATCTATAAACAATCAACGGAAAAATTGTCAATCATATTGATCATCAAGAAAAAAGGCTCATTTACATAAATCATTTGTAATGAAAAAATTAATTACTATTTGATGGTAAACAGAATCATGAACGCTGCTGATAATGAATTTACTATTTACCCTCCAATTGGATCATCTTAATTGCCCTTTTTAATCATCTTTTCCTCTAACAAATCAAAACAAACAAAAAGTTCGCGCGAAATTAAGTTCAATCATGTTTTTTGTACAATTAAATTTAAAAATCACTTAAATTGTTAAAATCAACTAATCAACTAATCCAAACAAACAGGTTGATACTTAGTAATTATATAAATACAATACAAATATAAACAAATGTATTCACATTTAGTGAGATAATTATAATATAAAAGAGTTTAATTAAATCGCCATGAAAATGTTTTCTAATTAACACCAATTGATTAACAAATTAATTGATTGAAAATTATTGAACACCGCCATGCGGTGAATGCTTCAGACATTACAGGCCACATTAGTGGTTGCCCTGAGGCACTGAACTAACCGTTCAGTTTACATTTAATTTTTTCTCTAATATTTCAATTATTTTTTTAATGTAGATTATTTTTTCTTCCACTTCTTCTCCATTCGTGAGGTCCCAGTCGTTTCTCCAGTATTCCCTTGTCTTCTTGCATTCATTCAGATAATGTATGTGATTTCCGTCTTTGCGTTTCCTTTTCCTTGCTTGACCACTTTTTATTTGTAAATCGCTAATCATGTTAATTAGCTGTTGTAGGTGATGATTGTGAAAGTGGCTGTAGGTTTTTTCGATTTTTCTTTGAAAGAATAAAGTCCAGATAGATTCTTTTCTGCCCATCATCGTGATTTCATTGATTTTCTCATCTCTGTTGAGCATAACATCATTTTCAAGATTGATTCGATTTTTGATTTTGATTATTTGTTCAGGTTCTTTTGGTGGCTTTTTGGTTATTCCCATACTGGTCCACGTGTAGACTCCGGTGTGTTGTTCAAGTATTTTGATTACCACTTTGACCATTTCAGATTGACGGTGATTAGTTATTGACCTGGGGATTAAATAATTTACTCTATTAGTTTTGTATCTATTAACAAGGATTAAAAAAGCAATTATAAAAGTTTTTTTCTGGTCAGTGTCCGTTTCATAAACTGTTGTCTCTTCCATTATCGAGAATCTATTGTTGGCAATTTTAATGTAGACCAATTTCAGCGGTGAGTGATTACAATTTCTTCCCCAGAAGCTTTGATAGCTTTGCTCATTGGGCACCATGAAAGTTTTTCGTTCAACGATTATGTCAAAAATTGGCCATTCCTTTTTGTCACTTGCAACTTTTTCAACCGCTCGTAGCATTGATTTCAGCCAAATGTGAACTGGATTTTCTAAACCAAAGATTAGAATCGGTACCCATGGCGAGATTTGAGATCTTAAGTTCAGGGCGTTTTTTAGCTTTTTGTTTACAGTGTTTTGAATATTTGAGATGAGATTAGGATAATTGAAATTCTTATAAAGAGCATGAGGTCCAAGCTGGTACAGCATCGAGTTGTAATAAGCTGAAACTATGAGTCTCCTGTGGTGTATCGGCAATTTGTTGACAGTCTTGAATTGTGAAGCAATTGTTGGTGTGAATTTGTTGATTAGCATTTCAAGTTGTTCATTGTTAAGTGAGTATTTTACTAGTTTACCGGCAACCTTTTCATTCATTGATTTCGAGTGTAAGATTTTTGTCTTTGATTGGTTGACATTCAGGTTAATCGCTTTGAGCTCTTCGATCACAATTTCTAGATGTTTATCTTTTTCACTTTCTGTTGTTAGGATAATAATGTCATCCGCGAACGCTATTAAATTGACCTTTTTGTTTTTAACATTCTTAATCGCCTTATTCAGACCAATTATAAACATGATCGGTCCAAGTGATGAGCCAGCGGCTGTCCCAATATCATCTCTCTTGTAGAGTATTTTTTTCGACTTTTTATATTTTAAAGTTCTGTTTTTGTGGAACGATTTTATCATTGATAAAGTTCCCTGGTCGATTGCTCCTTCTAGCTCCTCATAAATTGCTTCAATTGAAATGTTGTCAAAAGCTTTTTCAGCATCGATTGAGACTGCTATTCCTTTGTCCAAATGTTGTGTAAGTATCACATGAAAGTCATCGACATTTAATTCAGAATGATAAGCGAACTGAGTCACTGGTACTAATATTTTTGATAATACTTTTTGTACTCTTTTCGTGAGTAGCTTATCATAAATTTTTAGTACAAAACCAGAGATTTTTATTAGTCTTAGACTGTTATTTGGTTTTGGAATGAAGTGAGCACCAAAACATTTGATCTCTGGAGGTATAATTCCTAATTCGAAGGATCTCTCGATAGCTTTTACAATCGTTGATTTGTTATGTTGCCAGAATTTTTTCCAGGTGCTCATTGAGAAATTGTCCGCGTTGCCCGATGTCTTCTTGAAGTTTAAATTCAAGGCCCACTCAATTTCTGTTTCACTTAATTTGGACCCAGTTGACTCTTCTCTCACTTGTTGTGGTGGTTCGTCTTTGAAAGCCGTAAGGTCAGGACCAGGAATTGATTGATTCTCATTTTTCAGAATTTCTGCTAACCCTTTTTTTGTTCTCAGTAGTTTATTTATTATTTTCCATGTTTCCTCTGAGCTTTTCCTAACTTTGTACATATATTTAAAGATTCCTTTTTTTCTACTGATTCTTAACTCTAAACATTTTTTCTCAAGTTCTCTAATTAATTCTCTGTCAGCTTTTTGTCTCTTTAGTCTCTGGATCTTAGTTCTGAGTTTCCTAATTCGTCTGTTTGTTGTTGACTTTCTAATAGACTTAAATTTGGTGTATTTGTCTACAAAGTTCATGAGATCTCGAAAGAAGACTTCAGGGTTGTTGCTGTCACTGTTAAAGACTAAGTTAGTTAAATAGGTGATTTTACTTCTCTCTGAGTTTCTAATGAAGGGGGGCGAAGGTTCTATTGTTAGCTTAAATTCCCTGTGATCAGTTATGATTTCTCCCCACTCACATTCGATATTTTTTATATTTGAGAGAATCAAATCAATCCAGGTCCTTCCAAAAGGGGCTTCAAAGGTGTGATTATTACTTGTTGGCTTATTGATCACCTCCAGATTTTTCCTTTTGATAAGTTCCTCCATCGATTGGCCACTTTTTTGACTTGTTTTCATCGACCACAGTCGACTTTCACAGTTTATATCCATTGCGATAATTGTCGGCAAGTGGACAACTTTTTCAATCATCTGCACTACATTACTGAGGTTAATTCTATGGTTTAATTGTTCGATGTAAGCCCCAATCACAAGGCATTGTTTCTTTTTATAACACACGAGAGCGATGATACATTGTTTCACTGTTGTATCAGCTATTCTAAGTTCAATGTCGCTTGAAGTTATCATTATCACATGATCATTTATTACAATGTTTCTTTTTAAGAAGTCAATTGAGGTCGACCTATTCGCTTCGACCAGTACTAGAACTGTCGATTTGCTGATTAATGTTTCATCGATAAGTCGCCTTGTTATTTCTCTACTCTTCCTTGCATTAAGATAACGTAATGTTATCCTCTGGCTTAAGGAGCCATTCATATTGTACACTGTGATGTTGTGAGGCTTGAGCGTAAAGTAGTTTCACCACTGGACAGGTCGTTGAGTCCGCTCTGTGTTCTTGACCACAGTGAAAGCAGGTTGGTTTTCTCGCACTACACTGATTTTCATGGATTAGTCCACAGTTTATGCAGCGCCTCGAGCAGTCGCGATTATCTAAGTGAGCTGTTGACAAACACCGACAGATTTTCACATTTATATTATCAAAGACTTGATGAGTGTTACCCATGAAGATTATTAGTCCATCGCTGTCCAAGATTTTCTCTCTATTATGATGACTGATGTTGAGTTTAATCTTTTTTATATTTTCTTTTTCCTCCATACAGCTTACAAAGGTTTCACTGTCCTCCCTGAATTCATTGGAGATGGAGATATTGTTGGTTGCGATGTTAAGTGGTATTTGTGGCCAGTTTTTTACATGAAAATAAACTGATGAGGGTATTGGTACAAACTTAAAAATGTCGACCACCGGAAGATATCTTGTGAGTAACAGTTGAGCTTCTCTTTTCGCCACTGCGGACACTGTACCAATTTCCAGTCTTTTTGTCCTCTTCTTGAGCTTGAAGTAGGTGAATTTTTTTGTTGAGTTTTCAATTCTTGATATTATTAGATCGACCGCATCCTTGTTCATTTCCAGGGTAGGAAAGGAGAGTTGAATCGAATTTGTTTTGTCACAGTGTTTAAAGGTTTTTATCCATCCTAAGCGAGCGGCTTGAAGTTCACGTTTTACACTTTTGTCCATTTTGACTTTCTGAATAAAGTTATATTAAGGGAGGTTAAAGATATAATGACTGAATGAGGTGAGGAGTTTGTTTCTTGTTGTAGTTTGTGAGTCAGTTTTTAATCATTAGTTTAATTGTTAGCACTTAGATTATTTCTACACTTATTAATGATTTCTTTGAGTTGATTGGATTATTTTCCTTGTTAATTGTTTCGTTTACTTAAGCTAATTTAAATTGTCTTATTCTTGTTACTTAATTGTTGTTAATTAAGTTTCGAGAAACATTTTTGCTTGGAAAAGTTTATTTATTGATTGTATTCAATTTGCACGGAGGTGAGAGTTTACAGGCATTGGTTAGAAATTGTCAGTTGTTTGAATTAGTGTGTTAATTGTTAGGTTTGGATAGTATTTGGGTTAATTGTTTCTCTCTATTGAAATTTGTTATTAATGTTGACAGACTTTTTTTCGATCAACTAGATGGCAGCAGTTTCGTTTTCTTTTTTTTTGGAATTTTTGTTTATTTTGTTTTCTATTCTCTCTCTCTCGTCATCTAAACAAAATAATCTCTTCTTATCATGATTACGATTTACGAATTAATCTAATGATTACAATTAACTTATTATATTCTTGTGATTCAATTGATCTCTTGTTTCTTTGGAATCATCTTCATCTCTTGAAACAAATTGTTCGCTTTCAAAATCGATGATCCATCTCTCTCTCTCTCTCTTTTACCTGACGATGAATATGATGATAGTGATGATGATGTTCCAACATTTCTAATTGTGAATCTCTCTCTCTTTTTCTCTTTCTTTTGCTGAGATTCTTTTTTTTTCTAAACCGGTTTATCACTTCAATCCACTCAACTTCAAAAATTATCATTCGTTTGTTAATCACCAAGATTGAATCACCAAAAAATAACAACAAAAAAACAACAACAATAACAAATACAGTTAAATTATGATAATTGGTAAAGTCTACTCAATATTATATAGAAAATGAAACAAGATCGTCGTGATCAGACTGGAAAATCAGGACACTCACCATTTATTAATCGAGCTCTACCTCCATTGCCCAAAGATAATAAGGAAGGTGATGATTGTAACCACCATGAGGGCGAAAATGGTTCCACCGAGGCAGAGGATAGACAAAAGGATTATTGTGATTCCATTGAGAAGGTTAAAGATTGCGGATGGTATTGGGGACCAATTTCCGGGGAAATGGCGGAGGCCATTCTACATAATGAGCCCGATGGTAGTTTTATAGTTCGTGATTCAAGTGATGAACATTATTTCTTCAGTTTAACATTCAAATTGGAAGGTTTTGTTAGACATGTTCGCATTGAACATGATCAAGGTAAGTTTTTCCACGAACAAAAAAAAATCTATCAAATAATCGTAATTGTTATGCTTTTCCATCCATCAAAACTGGTCATCAATTTAATCAATACATAAAATGATAATAATCTCATAAAGTTATCGGTTAGTCTCTCAAATCAATCAAAGTTTTCTAACAAAAATTGATGTAACCAGTTTCATCATTAATGACACTCTTATAATCATCTAATCCTCATTACAACCATCAATTAATTTAAAAAACAAATCCTCATTTTGAATGGTAACATTATGATTACTGTCGAAATCATTATCATGTTAAGTTTTTGATTTTTTTTTCTTTGTCGAGGAAAAATCAAACAACTTACCTTGAAATGATTTTTTTCGTTGATTAAATTGGATTAATGGTGATTACACTGACTTACTTTACAGAAGATTGAAGATTACGGCTCATTGAGTTAAATCACTATTCGCATTAGATTGTTACAATCAATTTTATTCTCATTCTTTTTTCTTCTTAAATCCTCATTGAACAAATATTTCACTTCAACAATTTAAATTGTATTTTTTACTTTTCTTTTTCATCATCATCATCATTAACATTCAGATCAACATGAATATAAGATTGTAGCTCAACCCCAACAACAAAATGCCAATCCCATAGACTATTATGTTTATATTGTTAACGTTGATTATTATGATTAACTTTTTCTATTTTTCTCTCTCATTCCATTCATCCAATGGAATTTGATATTTTCCAATTTCATTTGCAATTCAAATCTCCTCACATTGTGTATTTATCATCATCAACATAATTTTATTCATAATTTTCTTGTTACATGATTTACCTTTGAACTAATTTTGGTTTTCCTTTATTTATTTTTCCTTTTTGTCTGATTTCAGGTACTTTTAGCTTTGGATCACGACAAAAGTTCAAAAGTAATACTATCGTTGATTTTATCGAAAACTCCGTCGAGCATTCAAGAAGTGGTCGCTATCTATTTTTCTTACATCGTTTACCTGTTATGGGCCCGATGCGTGTCCAGCTACTCCATCCCGTTTCTAGATTTAAAAGGATCCAATCGTTACAACATATGTGCCGGTAAATTTTCCCTTCAATCACAATTAGATTACCACTAATTAGAGAAACCATTTACACATAAACACTTTATCAATTAATCATCTATCAATTAACCAATCCTACCCTCAGTTTGGTTAATTATGTGTTGTGTGGGTTTGCTAATTTCACCTTGTAAAAATAACCTTACTATTGATACTTTTATTTGTCTTCTCATTGCTAATTGTCATTTTCTTTTTCATTTTCTTTTTCTTCATCTCTAGATTCGTTATTCTAAAATATGTTCGTCGAGATCTGATTGATCATTTACCTTTACCACCTCAGTTGAAATCTTACCTGAATACACCTTATTATTATTCGGAAGAATTGACTCTCTTCGAGAAAGCAAAGAAAGATGAAGAAACTTCAACATAATTGAAATCCTTTAAAATCACTTGTTCTAGTCCTGACACACCAACAACAATCAACTAATTATAAAAGATTATCTCTAATGGAGAGTTTTTTTTTCTTCTTCTCTTTTTTTTCTTGATGAGTTACAAATTCGTCATGATTATCGTTCACCATGATTTCTAATCAACGGAAGAAAATCATGCAAATAAAAATTATATCAACATTCTCATCACTCCAACTATTTTTTGTCTTTTAACAATTTCTTGTGAAACAAATTAGTGGAATCGTTATTTTAAACAGCTCTAACAGCAATTCTATCATTTAATTAACTTATTATTATTATTACTTAGAAATCATGAAACAAAGTCAAATAAAAATCATCACAAATGTTCAACTAATTGCGTTTTCATTATGATTTGAATCTTCACTTGATTTTTTAAACTGTTTGGATGCATAGAAATCCTTTTTTGCCGCATCCAAGAGGACGTTAGTTAGATAACTTTTACGTGAAGTATATTTGGGTGGTTCGATTGGTGGAAGTGGATTACCTGAAGAAGAGAGAAGGAAAAAGATAATTGAACAATTAGAATCGATTTTTTTTTCTTCGAGTTTCTAAGAAAACAAACCTTTTAATTCAAGGCAACCTCTGTCATAGAATCTACATTTTCCAAGAATAACATCTTCTCTATCCCTTGTATCGGATAATAACCATAATTTGGTGAAAGATTGGGTATAATCCATGTACCTGGGAACCAGAACTTTGAATAGCTTATGGACCAACTGTTTCTCCTACATGAGATAAATAGACAATTGAAAAAGTTGATTAGTTTATAATTACAATCAATCAATAGAAATTCAATGATTCAATGAAAGAGAGAAAGAAAAATACGAACATGAATATAGAAATCAGCTAATTCCATGGTAGGGATATGACGATCTCCATTCCTCATGGCTTCAGTGATTAACTAAATGATTAGGGAAAAAAAGAATTGAATTGAATTGAATTAAATTGAATGTGAGAGAAGAAAAAAAAGATTCTTTTATACAGATTAATCATGAAGAAGAATAAAAAAGCACAATACCCGTTCAGTGTATCCTTGAACTTCCAAAGCTCGATGATGAGGTAAAGTGATCCTTTCGAACTTAATTAAATCAGTAACTAATTTACCAATTAAAATTAAACGACCAGATCCATGGCGCAACCATTTAGATGCCAATTTAATTGGTTTCCTATTGACCACAACATCGGGTGGAAGAGCTGGAATAACTTTCCTATTGACTGGTGGTGGTCGATTGAGAGCATCGTTGAAGAAACGAACCATTTTGCCAATTTAAATAATCAAAGAACAGGATCACAATTAGAAAATTAAATGCAAATAATTAAATTAGAAAAGTGATCAATCAAAACAACAAAACTCTAACATGTGAAAGATCATCTGGAGACTCGATAAGGATCCGAATCTCTTGGATTCGAATCCAACCTCATGTTTTCTTTTTTTTTCTTAATTGTTTAGGAGTGATTTTCGATTTGTGGTTAAATTGTTCTGCTTGGAATTGTTCTGTTTATAGTTATCATGATAATCGGAGTCAAATGTATCAATTGTTCTCCTCTGATTGGATTAAATTCAAATCGTTTTCTAGTTCGATTCTATTCCCATTCAACTCTATTGAGAAAAACCAATCATCATTTTCACAATCAACAGGAACAATTTTCATCTTCAAACTCATCAATTAACAATAGAACATCAAATAATCATGTTTATCAACATACTTATGGATCATATCAATCAATGGTTGACGCAGAAAAGGAAGAAGCCAAAAATTATATTCTACTTGAGGATAAAACGTTAAGACTAAAAGTGACCGAAAAATCAATTTTGGAAACAATTTTAGATTCACCTGTTAACAATTATTGGGATTATTGGATTAAAGATAAACACTTTTTCTTAATTCGTCTCAAAGATTCGGAAGAGTTCATTTCGAAAAGTAAATCAATTATTTGTGAGGCTAAATTTCCCATCATGTCAAAATTTTTTTCTATCACCAAGTTACCTCATAGTGAGAAAAAACTACCAGAAATTGCCAAAAATCGATCGGACATTCGGTTGAATCGACAATCTTGTAAATTGCCAGAGAATTTGGATCCAAATCGTCCAGTTGATGAAACGATGAGAAAATTTATTCGAAATTTAGCCTTAAGTGAATTAGAATGTAAATTGAAGTTTTTCATCATCAATTCGTTTGAGGAATTGTTGTGCCGAGGAGTTTTTGGTGCTTTCCAATTGACCCCCTTCGGGTCGAGTGTCAATGGATTAGGTTGGGGATCAAGTGGCCTTGACCTTTGTCTTACAACTAAATATCAGCCCGATCCGAATCCAAACTTTGTCGCTTCTTCTGCTGGACTACTTGATGGATCAATGAAACGACAGCGATGCATCAAAATGTACACAACACTAATGAGAGTTGGTCTAATTCCGGGTGTTAACAATGCGAATCAACCAAACAATCAGACTGTCCAACTTTTCTCAAATTTTACCTCAACCGACATAACGATCACCTGTACTGATCCAGTTACTCTAGAATTTTTTAAAATGTCAGAAATTTTGTACCAATTAACTCGAGCTGATGAACGATTGTTTCATTTATTTCATTTCTGTAAATTATGGGCTGAAGTTCAAGGTTGTATTAGTCCAACTTTTAGTCATTTCAATTTAACCATGCTAATTATCAGTTATCTCCAAGTTAAAAGGCCATTTCCCGTTGTACCTCCATTGGAACCATTTTTTCAATCAACTCAAATCCAATTGGAATCTGAACATATTCAAGATCAATCGTCGTCTTTTACTGACATTTTACAAGGTTTTTTCCATCACATCGGCACCTTTGATTTCACCAGTTCGGGTGCCAATCTATTCCTTGGTAAAACTATTCGCAAACCCAATCGAGATGTACTGTTAATCCTTGATCCCGCTCGAAGTTCCAACATGGCCGTTAAAGTTACCAAGAATGATTTAGAAAATTTAACTCGAATTGCCCTTAAATCTTATCGATTAATGGGATCTGGTTGTAATTTACAAAATCTATTAAGACCAATTGCTCAAGACACTAAGAAGAAAATAAACTAATTAGAAAAAAAGAATATGTAATTAACGTAGAAACAATCAATCGATGAGATATAAAATTATTTTCTTTTGGTAAATAAAAGGAAATTACATTATTGATGAAAATAATAATAAAGGAATGAGGTAATAAGATGATAGAGAGAGAGAGAAGAGGGATAAGAAGGAAGAGAAATTTTTATAATTAATCTAAATTGAACTTGAATTAATTAGCCTTACAATTAATAGAACCTTTTTCTTGAGGTTTCTTGGTGTTTCTGGAAGACTAAAATTGAAATAGCTACTAGGAAAATAATACCAATTATGGCACAAATTAGCAAAAGGAAAAATTTAAGATTAGACATGCTTTGGGGTTTATCATCAATTCGTGGACGGGGTGCGGCAAATGAGCTTGCGGAGGGGAGCATGTGACTACGATCCTCGTTATCGATGGGTGTTGATGAGGTTAATTGGAAAGTTTTGATTCCGATGACATCGTGATTATCTGTTAATTCACCGGTAGCTGCGGTAACACCAATGTAATATCCTGGAGGTAGGAGAACACCTTTTACATTGAAACATTCTTTGAAAACACCTCGAGATTCAAAATCAGTTCCTACTGAGAGAACATCATTCTCATATTTGATCTCTACAAGAGTTTCATGATCAACATTACGGAATTTTCCTTCACATCCAGCTAATTCGGTATGTGTACCATCACGATCATGGTCATAGTGTAAGGTTCCATTGTTAATCATGGCAGAAATATAAGGGTGTCCGTGACTGTGAGCTCCATTCTGGTTAGCATAAGTATCGAAAAATAAACCAAGGCCAACAAAATAATCTTTCGATCCAAAAACGGGTCCTAATAATAAAAGTAGAAAAGGAGTTTGAAAACATTGATATAATTAGACAACAATCGATAGAAACATGCAATCAAAGGGAATGCTGTAATTAGTAATTTCCTGACAACAATAATGTTAAGTAATATTATTTACCTGCTTCAAGAGGATCCTTGACATACCAAAAAGCGAAACCATCACCAAACAATTCTTTCCCTTTTCCAGTGACTTTAAAATGTAATTGGATAGCCCAATTTCTAAAAATGATTGGCTAAAAGGTGGAAATTATGTTAAAAAAAAGAGTAAAAATTAGCAAAAAAATCAACTGAAAAAGAAAACAATCAATAATTACATTCTTATTGTAAAGTCCACCGATTCTACTTTGCTGATCCGCTGTTAATCTAATGTATGACTGTGTCACCATAGTAGATCCAAAAAATTCCCAATGAGGTATAACCATACCGGAGCCTGTTATTGGGGAAAACAAAGACAAACAATAAGAGATAAGAATAAATTGAAGATAATAGAGGAATAGAGATTAAAAAAGACAATCAATTTAAATTAAATTACAAGGTTTTTTCCTTGAGAGAACAAAAAAAATTTCTTCTTACCTTGATATGGTTTAATTAAGGAATGTTCTCGTTTAAAATATTCACCTTCACTATTAACAAAGTAACATAGGAATACAATTATGTAAATAATATTATCAATCAACATTTTGACTAATTAATGGGATTAATTAAGTGAGAATTAAATTAGAAAACAAATGTTTACAATTTTTGACTCTAAAATGAATCGATTATTAATAAGCCGAACTCGCCGCATTCGGTAAATCGGTCCGGGTTTTTGAAAGAATTCGGGTAAATGGAAAAAAGCGGAAAATTTGAATTTACGAATTTTGCAATTTTTTTTTTATTAAATTTTTACAATAAATGAAAATGAGAATTATTTTTGATAGAAAAGTTAATTTTTGTACAATTTGTATAAATTTTGATTTGAAAATCTATTATCTTGATCTTCTTTCAGTTTTAATTTCTGATTCGGATTTTCTTTCGTACTTATGTTTACCATCATAATCTCTTTTTCGATTGTCTCTTTCTCGTTCTCGATCGCGATCTCGATTTCGATCTCTTGACCGGTCTCTGTATCTATTTTGACCTTTCTCCCGGTCTCGCTTTTCCTTGTCTTCAAGTCTTTTCTTTTCTCTTTGCTCTGGAGTCTCATAATTACCACAATGATCAACTCGAATGATGCGACCAACCAATTTGATTCCATTTAAATTGTCAACAGCTAATATGGTACTTTTTTGATCCTCATAACAAATGAAACAATAACCTTTTGATTTACCAGTTTCTTTATCTCGGACCAGATTAATTTCACCAATTTCACCATATTGTGAGAAAACACAGATAATATCACCTTCGGTTAGATCAAAATTTAAACCACCAACAAAGATCCAAGCTGAATGTGAATACATGGAATGCCATGAAGCTTTACCTTCAACACCGAGTTTCAATTCTGTTTCACTGAGCTTTGTGATACCTTTCACATTTCTAAAAGCAAAGATAAAAAAAGAAACAATTAATATCAATAATATTCAAATAATAATAACAAACAAACAACACACACAATTGTTTTCATAGAGAAAAAACTACTTACGTTAATGGATTCATATTGTGTTCACTTAACAATCAAAGATCACCAAACAAATTACCAGAATTGATCCAAAGAATCACCAAGTTTAAAACAATTAACTCTAAATCAATCAAAATGATCAGAAAATCACTCAACTGGGAAAAAGAAAACAAAAACTATAGAAATTTTTTTCGAAAAAAAATTAGTCTTTAATTTCTCCACCAGAGGTCCTACTCTTCTCATTAATTCTAAAAGTTAATCAATTGAATTTATTCAATTCTATTAATAGATTAACTATTCGGATTTATAAATGAAGAATCAAATCAACGGTGATCAATCTATTCCTTTCCATCAGATGTCCTAATGATCTCGTTGATTCCTTTGAATTTCCTTTAGTTGATTTGAAAATGTTCATCGAGGTTCATGATCACAATTAAAATGATGGAATAAAAAATTGATGAATGTGATCACTTGAAAATAGTTCACATTAATTAGTAGAACAATTAACAGTCAAAAAAAAAGGAATGAGTTTAATATAATTAGTCCAAGAATCTAAATGTCAATGAGATGTGAAAGGAAAGAGATTCAATGAGTTACGAATTTTGGATTAGAAAATTAGCTTAATTGTTTGATCCATTTCGATGATGAACTTATCTCAGATAAGCGGTCGAATTGATCATTCGGCGATTGGAAAATTGTTATCATTAAACTTGAAATGTTAACTCACTTGTTTTCACTCACAATTAGTTTGATTGTTAGGATTGTCCGATTAATTTCAATTGGACATTATTATGAAGTCTTTTTTGTTTATTAATACAATTTACTGTTCCCTCTCGGGTAAACAATCAGATCCGAAGTTAATTAAATTCTACATAAGAGATTTGATTATTTTCTAGAATATTTTTCATTCATAATTTCATTTTCTTCATTTGTTTTCGAGGCCTTTCAGGTTGTCATTTAGTTGATTTATATAGCAATTATAATCTAATTGTTTTTGGTTTTAATCAACCCAATCTAATCTGAGCAAAGAAATACTTTAAAAGCGTAATTTTATAGAGACGAGAATTGAAAAATGACAATTCAGATCAGAGCATTGTGAATATTAAACAATTGGTCAAGTCCAAAAATTTTCGGAAAATTTTTGCCGTTATTTTATATTTTTAAAGGGCAGGAGAAAGAGTTAGTAGTTTAAGAGAAAAGTTTATTCTGTTTACTTTTTCACACTGTCAAGAAATTAAATTGATTCGATTAAAACTTGATTAAAGTTTAAAGACTGGACTGTCGATTTTGTTGTTTTTCTTTCAATTCGAATTCAAATTTGTTTACATTTTTTTCATTTTCTTCTCTTACACTTTGAAACAACAAGTTCGAACCAGAGCTTCGGACACTGCGTAGGGATCAGCATTCAATGCTGGTTGTCGATCTTCAAGATAACCACAATTCGTCTCAGCGACTGAAGTGTTGATTTGAACGGAAGCAGTTCGATCACCAATACCAGAGGAAAATTTGTCAATTGATGAAGTTTCATTTGTATCAATTAAAGTGTCGTGACCACCTCGAGGATCATAAACAGCGATATGTTTCTGATGATTTTTGGCAGGAGACTCAACGTATTCTTGAATCATTTTCAGTCCACCGGGTTGACGGGTTTGCTTGGTGGAGAAGTTGATATGAGCACCAGACCCATTCTAACCAGGTACTGGTTTTGGATCGAAGGTAATTCGTAAATCTAATTTCTCAGCAATTCGGACCAAATGGAAATCTGGAAACCTGAAAATCCAAGCATCGTCACTAAGCTTGATGCCTGTTGATGGGCCAACCTGATATTCCCATTGGCCAAGTAGGACCTCAGCATTAGTACCAGAAATTGGTACACCAGCATATCTACAGGTGAAACTGTGGCCTTCGATAAGAGCTCGAGCTTGTTTATCGATATTAGCACCACAATAAAATAGACCATGGGGATCAGATAACCCTCGTTCTGGCCAACCAAATGGTTGATCAGTTTTATTATCAAGAGCAAACAAATTCTTGCTCAAAGGAAAACCATGGTTCGTCTTTTGCGACTTTGACCATGGATTGGGCACAAGAATTTCGGCAATTTAACAAAGGAAAATGAGCCTAGAATTTTGGCAAGAACATAATGAACAAATGGAAAATGTTAAGAAATTAACAAGAGGGAAAAGGTTAGATTGTTACCTGTCGATGATCCATCAAAGTTCCAGATTGGACAATCACCAGGAGATGTTGGAATTGCATTGGAACTTCGTGATTTCGATCTCAAACTCTCCCCTGTTCCGACATCCGTGAGATTGACATTGTCTTCTTGAGGCAAAGAGATGAGAGATTGTAACACAGATTCAACATCCATGGTTTGGACACAATAACAATAAACAAAAATGGAAGAGAAAAAAATACAATAGATTTTAAAATGAAAATCGGAACATCAAAAATAGAATCAATTTAGAAAAAAACTAAAACAATTGTTAAGAAAACGTCATCAGAATATCAACAAAGAAAGTTCATCATAAGAAGATTGATGAAACAGCGAAGTCGTTTCATTAAACTCTCTCTCTCTCTCTCTCTCTCTGTTCCTTCTCAGGTAGACAATCAGATCCGAAGTCACTTAAATTCTACATAAGAGATTTGATTATTTTCTAGAATATTTTTCATTCATAATTTCATTTTCTTCATTTTTTCTCGGCGATTTATTTGTAATCGTCGGAACTTACGAGTTGTCTTCCAGTATGAATATTGACCAATATGCTGCTCGACTAACGACCAATGATGACGAAATGAAAAGTAGGCTCAGAGGGAAATGTCAATTCTAATAATTAAAAGGATTAAAGGAGTGAATGAAAAGTTAATTCGAGAGTAAATAGATTAATATAAATCTTTAATCCATCTTAAGATTGATTCATTTTTTCAGAAGAAAATTTTCTTTCTCTTTTTCGAAATGTTAATTGTTTAGATAAATTGAGAGTCATTAAAGTCAATTGGAGCTCAAAGTTAAGTTTCATTATTGAAAATTAATTTCAATTGTCTTTCGGCAAAAAAGTGAGTTGATCTCTGGGGCTAATAAATCGATCACTTGGTCGATTTTTATCGAAAATCTATCGGTTTTAACCCTTTCAGATTAAAACTTCTAGAAAGAAATTTCTATGTTCCGACAATCGATTCGTAGATCAGAATATCACTCGAATATCAGTTCGAATGCTCAACTCGATTCAAAGTATTCTAAAGTTTTAGAGTGAAATCTTTGTTTGTTTTTGTTAAAATTCATCTCCAATTACTTTTTGTTAATCAAATCAACAATCGAAACTTAATCATCTTCTAGATTTGAAACTTCAGTTAATTAAATTCTACACAGAAAATATTCCATTGATCCTTTTGTTTCCTATTTTTCTACAATATTTTCGTTCATAGAGATTCTTTTGTAATCGTAAAAGCACAACTTGCGAATTCTTGGCCAACATGAACTTTCACCCTAATGATATCCATCAAGCAACTAATAGTGCGAACGTTTCTGGCTCCTATGAAGACGAAATCCGCCATCTTTTTCGAAATTTTCGTCCCAGTCCGTATGTCGCTCCTACAAATGGATTGAAAACTGAAAATCCCGTGAAAACGGAAAGTCAAGTCAAACCATCGCAGGTAAGAATAGTTAGAGTACCAAAATAATTTCGAACATTTTTTTTTGTTAACCGAATCTTTTGTATTCTTTGTATTTCCAGAATCGAGAACTGAATAGCAATCAAAAGTCAATGTTCTATTTGTACTTCAATCGCGATGAATTTGAACAGTCACTAGATCTCGTTGATTTGATCAATTTGTCTCGAAGAGATAATGAACCTGAATGGACCGAAGATGAAGTTTTCACGATTTATAGTTGGACCTTAATTGGAACTGGATTCAACAAGCAGTTGAACAGTTCGGAAAATTGGAAGGAAAAAAGAGCCAATCGAGATATAAGTGCTTATTACGATCGCAAGTGGAACCAATCGCAAGCAAATCAATGACCAACGAAACATAAAATGCCCAAATGATCAAATGATGAGTCCAAATTTTAACGAACAATTTCCATACAAATGACAACATGAATCGTGAACATGAACATCAGCGATTCATCAAAAAGTTTCCAAATAAATTCTCATTTTTGAATATCAGTTTCATTTCGAACGAGGTTTCCCTCTTATTGAAATTCTCGAATAAAGTTCACAGAAATTTTCGTTAGTCCTGAATCTCTTCACTAGATGTCAACTTGGTCTCCAGTTGAATAGATTTGATTGCAACTAATTCATTTGGAAATAATTTTTATTGTTGAAAATCAATTTCAATTGTCATTCAGAAAAAAAAGTTCATCAGATACAAAAAAAAAATGAGCATTGGTCAATTGTGAAAATTTGGTAATGATAAAAAAACATCAGTAAAAATAAATGAACGTTAATTGTTCATCGAGGTTTATGATCACAATTAATAAAATGATGGAATAAAAAATTGATGAATGTGATCACTTGAAAATATTACACATTAATTAGAAGAACAATTAACAGTCAAAAAAAGGAATGAGTTTAATATAATTAGTCCAAGAATCTAAATGTCAATGAGATGTGAAAGGAAAGAGATTCAATGAGGTTTTAGATTTTTGGATTAATTTTACAAAAAAATTACATTTGATTTGAGATTATTAATATTATCAAATCAACGATTGCCAATTAAGTCACTTGTTTGTTTGTTTGTTTCAATGATTAGCAAAAAATAAGTGAAAATGATGAAATTGATGAAATTGATTCGAAGAGAGAAAAAGAGATGAAAATCGATTGTCGTCCATGCAAACCAATCAGAATTTAATGTTGATCCATTTCGATGATTAACTTATCTCGGATAAGCAGTCGAATTGATCATTCGGCGAATGGAAAATTGTTATCATTGAACTTGAAATGTCTCTTGTCATAGAATTTCGCCAATGCTGGTGAATATGGATGATTCTGTTTCAAGTGAATATAATGTTGTTCTGGTTGATTAGTTGTATTTCCACATTCTTCGCACACATAAATCTTTGTCCTTCGCTCTTTGTAAGCGTAAGTGTGAGAAATCCCATGGACTTTGAGTGTGTGCGATTCCAATGAACATCTCTGAGTAAATGATTTATCACAATGATTACATTTATAAGGACGAACACCTAAAGGATCAAAGGCAAGAAAAAGAGCAACAATTAACACACTTGTTGATTAGAATCACAAACAAGACTTTTCTTTTTTTTCTTTTTTCTCTCTTCGTTTTCTATTTTTACTGTTTGCTTTTCTCTTTTTCTCTTTCACGTTAACTAGAAACTATTATTTTGTTCGTTAGAAAATTACCTCAAGAAATGAGAGAGAGAGAGAGAAGAGAGAAGAGGAGAGAGTACGGGAGAGAGGAAGATGAATGTTGAGTTATTTTAAGTGAAAGTTAAGGAACCAAGGGAAAGGTGAAAGGTGGAAGAGAGAAGAAGACAAGTCAAAATAGAAAAGAAAAGAGAAAATAAAAAGAAAGTAAAAAGCGGGTGGAGTAGGTGGTTGATGGAAAACATTGGAAATGGTCAAGGTAAAGGTAAACTAATCTAACGGCTTCAAGGTAATAAACCAATGGACAATACTATTAGAGTTTTCTATTTACTTTCTTTCGTCTTCAACTTTACCCTCTTTTCTGACCTTAGGCTTTTTTCTTGAAAGCGAAAGAGTTAAAATCTCTGTTGGGGATCTTTACTTTTACTTCTATCAACCATTAATAAGAATATAATCTCTCCACTCTCGGAATTAGGGATCAACCCAAAGACCAACGAAAGTGTTTCCATATTTATAGAAACCGTTAAGATAAGAATTTCTCTTTTCCTTTTCCTTTTCTTTTCTTTTCTTTTTCTCTCTTTACTTTCTTTCTTTCTTTCTCCTCTTCTCTCCTCTTTTTCTCTTCTACCTGTTGATTAACTTTCTTTCTCCATTCACTCTAATTACCTGTATGAGTCCGTGTGTGTCTTTTCAGGTCGAAAGTGTCGTTGAAACCTTTGCCACAAAATGTACAAAGATAACGTTTGATATCCGAATGACATTTCAAGTGTCGATTCAATAATCGGGACAAAGTGAATCGCTTATCACAAATTGGACATTTCATGGGATCATCTAAACTCGGCTGGACTACTGGTTGTATCTTTGTGGCATTCGAACTGGTCAGTAGTGGATTCTTAAGACCATGGCCTCCGTTTACGAAATCGATCGAGTTGAACATGTGAAGAGGAATTCCTGTAATCAATCAATCGATACATTCAACGGATTAGAATCACAAATTATCAATAGAAATGCTATTAATCAAGAATCGTCTCAATACTTACCCAGTCTTTGAGCGAGTAAATTAACTGTGTCTGGGAGCGAAGCGGGCACTTCATTTCCACCCGCCTCAATACGAGATCTTTCAATTGATTCTTTGTACATTTTGTCAGTCACTTTGATTATTGGTTGAGATTCACATTCTAATTGGGATTGAGTGGATTGAGATGATTGAGATGAGAGAGATAAAGATGATGGTGATGGTGATTGTGGTTGTGGATGATGAGCAAATTGATTCTTTTGTCGCGATTGAAGATGAGCTTGTTGTTGGTGTTGGTGTTGTGATACTTTCAAGTTGAGAGGACCGTCCGACTGATTAGTTGATTTGATGACAGAACCTCGTTGATAAATTGATGGGGAACATGAAGTGGATGAGTCGGGAATCGATGAGGATGATGAAGATGTCGATGGACATGGGGAAGATAAACATTCCAATGCACACCGAGAGTTTGACTCATTCGATAAAATGTCATCAGGAAAAGATGGAGACATTGGTTCAGGTGATGTGGTTGTAGAAAGACAATCAACAGATGACGAGGCCGACGAATAGGACGATGGACGCCGACGATTCCCTTGTTGTGGTTGTTTGTGTAGATAAAATTGTTCGTTGAAATATTTACTCTCCTCACTTGATCGTTTCACTGATTTACTGTCACTTGCACTTGCAATTCCAATTCCATGGTGAGAGTGATGCTCGACACCGAGAGGAGAAGAGGACAATTCAATGGATCCGAATTTCTTGTGGAGATTGTGACAATTGGTCACTGAATTGGACGATGTTCCCGATCCAACGGGAGGAGAGATTTTCTCATCGTCCTCTGGACTCGGTGGTGGTGTCACTGGTCTCCACTGGGACGGTTGCGAATTGTGGTCTTTACAACTCAGTCGTTTTCGAATTAAAAACACTTTTGGCATTTTGATTGAGGAATCGAGACAATTGATTGTCAACAAGCAGAAAAGAAAAGAAATAAAATGAAATAAAAAGGAAAACGAGAGAAAATCAAAAGCGAATATCAAAGTAACGGTTATGAGTAAGTGAGTTTATCATTTGAATGTTACTTTATATTAACACAGAAACACCAATAAGACTGAAAGAGAAAAGAAAACAAGTTAAACCACTTTCTCTATGGAAAGAGAGTCACTTTTTCTCCCGAATTTATCTTCTTTTCTCTTCTTCGCATCATCATTGGTCTTTTTTCTTTTTCTTTCTTATCTTCATCTTCTTATTCATCTTCTTACTTTTCTCTCTCTTCTCTCTTCTCTCCTTCTCTCTCTCTCACTCACTCTCTGTTCTTTCTCTTCCCTTTCTCCTTCTCTCTCTTTTTCTATCAGAACTTTTCTTCTTCAGTTTTCTTAAATTCTTAAATCTAATCAATTGATCCGATTAATTAATTAATTGTTCTCATTGTTTCCCTTTAATCTTTTTAATCTTTTCCACTTCTTTTTGTAAACCATTTAAATATTTTCCTTGATTGGAATTCGACTCTCACTTTAATTCTAATGGTCTATTAGCCAATTCAATGGATCTTTACGAGTAATGAGAGAGAGAGAGATGAAGATGAGAAGGTGAGTTGACCAGATGCAAGGGTCAAGCGATGGATCGCGAGATAGAAGGAGAGAGAGAGAGAGAGGAAGAGGAAGATGATGATATTAAAAAAAAGGTTAAAAAACTGTTTCCTTAGAGAAAAAGTAACACAAATAAAAGTAAACTGGACATAAGGTTATGTCCAGTTCGTTGGGATGTTGACCCTTTTGTGAATGGAAAAGGAAATCATTTAATTGATTATCACATCTCATGACCCTCTTTTTTATCTCTACCTTAACCTTTATTACTTAACCTCTTACCTTTTTTTTAACTTCCTCTTTCTACTCCTTCTTTGTGGGTGGAAACTATTAGGTGGTCAGTTTAAGGGGTCAAAGGGACTTTTATCTTTCCTTTTCTCTCCTTTTCTTTCTCTTCCCTTCCCTTTCTTTTCTTTCTTTCTTTCTTTCTCTTCCTCATCTTCCTCATCTTCCCTTTCTCTCCCTTCCTCTTACCCAACACTCAGGGAGTGGACATTATCTTTTACCTTTAACCAGCTGTACCAATGGTCAATCAAGTTGACCCTTCGATTAATATTAGTGAGAGTTTACATTTCATCTCATTTTTATTCACCTTTCCCTTAGTCACTCATTTATCTCTGTGACCCTTTGTCACATTGACATACATTTAATTCATTACAATTACAATTAACTTGTAATCTAATTTATCTTCTCACTTTCAACCATTCAAATCATTTCCGTTTTTATCTCAATCGATTCGTATCAATAATCAACAGGTAATATTATTAATACCAGAGTATCATCATGATCGATGTCACCATCATCATAATCTTACAACAGAATCATAACCAAATCAAACTGTTAACTCTCTCTCTCTTTCTCTCTTTTTCTCTTTCTATCTCTTCTAACTCTCTGATCACAATTAACTTTAATCCAGTTCTTTTTTACACCAAAATAATCACCAGAAAACTTTCACTTGTTTACCAACAATAAAAAAGCCCAAAAGGTAAACAGGTAATTCCAGTTTCCATCTAAAGGTTCACATTGTTTTCATCCCGATAACTTGTGTCATCTTCATCTTCATCTTCATCTTCATCCTCATCTTCGTCTTATTGCTCCTTCTTTCCCTTTCCCATTCCACCCTCCACACAACCTCCTCGACTCTCTCATCGCCCTCATCCGACCAGTTCCCCTACTTTCACCATCGATCCATTAATCTCACCCCTTAATTCACCCACTTCAAGTTTCCACCTTACAGACTTATAATCATCTTCATCTTCATCTTTATCTTCATCATTGTGACTCTAAGAAAAAAAAGATTCAACAGGAAACTTGATTTCATCTTCACAGGTAAGAAAATCATCTTACCCTGAAAATCATTCTCATTCTCATTCTCATCATCATCTTCCTTTTTCTGTCTATTTTACTTTCTAATTTTCTGCTTCATATCATCTTCCCCACTCGAGACCCTTTTCCAAGAAAGTATATCATCATCATCATCATCGTCACAATTAACTATTCAATTTATTAATTACACCCAAGTAACATACAAAGTCCATAAACTGTCACCTAAATTACTTGACCCATAAGGTTTTCACTATCAAATGTTTAGATCAAATCGTTGGACTGTACGGATTTGCAAGGTGACCTGGTCAATGGTTAATTAGTAGCAAACGGACTCACATACAATTAACGCCGGATGACATAAGCTTTACGTGCCAATGTAATTTACTGATTCACAATTTAATCATCATCATCGTTATCATGGTTAAACGATTTTCCAATTAAAAGAATCAAGCTTTTTTCCTTTCTCTTTCTCTTGGGTAATAATTTTTACCTCTAAAAGTATTGTCCAGTTTTCCAGAAAAGGTCAAATTACATTTGGTTTTCGTGTCTATTACTTAACTTTATAGTCATTAACATTTAGCCGTTGTCCAACTGTCTCTCTCTCTCTCTCTCTCTCTCTCTCTCTCTCCTCTGTGAGTATCTACCTGTGTAAAAATAAAAGACGACAACATAGTTAACACAGTTACAGGTCATAAAAATTTTTCTCTTCCTTTTTGACAATCAAAACATTAGCGAACTGATAATGATCTTTACTAGAGTGAATGGTCAGTGAATATCCCGAGATTAACCTTAGATGCGAGTACTGAGAGAGAGAGAAAGAGAGATGAGGATGATAAGGATGAGAAAATTTCTCTTTTTTCATTCTCTTTCTTTTTTTTCACTGAAAAGAAAAACAAAGAGAAACCAATGTAATACAGAAGAAAAAGTTATTTTTGTAACAAAGAATAAAATAAGAAGATGAGGGATGATAATGATGATGATTGAAGAGAGAGAGAGAAAGTTAAGGTAATGATGATGATGATCAAAGGAGGATAAGAGGTAAAGGTAATGTGAGATGCGGATCATGAAGGTGAAATAAGACGTTGCCTAGTTTTTATCTTTCTAAAGAGGATGAAGATAAATAAGAAGATGATGAGACAACACTTTACCGTTGTACCTTAGAATCTGAACTTACCTGTGGCCTGGAATAACCTGTTAAACGGGATTCGTGAAGAAAAGGGCGACAGGTAACAAAGAAGATGAAGAAGAAAAAAAGAAAGTGAATTTTCAGTTACTTTTACCTTTTTCATCTCTCAAGGTATCTCTTTATTATCATCATCTTCATCATCTTCATTATTATTAAAAGAAAATAAAAGTAAAGAAAAAAGAATCAGAAACTTTTCTCTCTCTCTCTCTCTCACTTTCTTTTTATTCTTTTTCCTTGAACTCGGTCAATGTGACCTTAATAACACTCCCTGGGGCCCACACTCTTATTCACGCTCATCTTTATCCTCATCCTCATCCTCATCATTATCTCTCATCATCATCCTAAATATTAACGAATTGTTGTTAAAACTAAAAAACCATTGTAACGTTTTTAATACTAACGTTGAATTAAAATCTAAATTAAATCCAGATTTAACTGCAATTTACCATCATCATCGTTAATATAATAAACTATTGATCTTAAAGGAGGAGGAGGAGGAGGTGTAGTTGTAGTGGAGGCTGGAGGAGTTACTGTTAGGTAATGATCAAGGTAATTAGTTATCACAAGGTCAATTCAGTAACTATCCCAACGATCATGTAAATGTAAGGCCTCAAAAAAAAGTTATGTTAATCATTTAGAATCAATGATTAAACCAAGTTTCCATTTCGAAATCAATCAATATTATCATTCGATCCTTGAATTTTTTTAATTGTAACGATTAAAGTTTTAGTCTCATGTTTCGAATCTGTTATTAATAATATCAATGATCGAACTGCGAAAAGAGAAAAAGTTTCTATTTTAACATATCGTTAGTTTCGTTTTTTTAATTCGCTCTCCTTTTTTCTTCTAATTCAGTTCCCAACGATACATTTGATTCTATGAGCATTTTTTTATCTCTTATAAATGATAACAATTTCATTCTACTTTTTCTCTTAATTTTTTTTCTCTTTCTCTTCAATTTCTAGTTACGTTTCTTTCACCAAATGAATCGCTTCGTTGGCGCATAACGAAAGTCCAGCCTTGAACCTGTTTGAGATACAAGAATAATTAGACAGAGGAGAGAGAGAGAGAGAGAGAGAAAGTGGATGATGATGATGATGATGATTATGGAGAGAGAAAAGAAAGAGAAAAAAGTTATATTAGTAACCATAGAAACTGTCCCGTTCTCTTTTCTTCTGTTCTCTTACCTGTTTTCTGCCAGGTAAGTAAAAGAAAGAAAGAAAGAAAGAAAGAGATCACGCTACGTCGGCCATCAACGTCAGCCCTTGATAATTTAACTCAACGAACTCTAATCATCATCTGAAACCATGGATTTCAATTTTTTTCAGATCTTTTCTTAAACCAAATGGATAGTTAATAATTTGAAATTATTAATTTCTTTATATCAATAAATCATCATCACCTGATTATGTATAAAAAATTTCGTATTTCAATTCATTTATGGTAAATTAACTAATAGAGACTCTGAAAACATTCAATATACATCATTGATTGTTGTTTAATTGTTCACAATTAACCTCCAGGGTCAAGGTGTAACAAATAATGCTCACTTATTGATGTTATATCAACTTAACCTTCAACCGATGATGATGATGATTTGTATTAAAATTAAATTTCCATTAAACCTGATTGATATTTGTGAACTTTTTTCTGATTGTTTAGTTGTTTAGATAATGATATTTATCTAACCTTGACCTTCATCCAGAAAAACTGACCACTAGTTGTCTATTAGCGGTTAAAAGCGGTCATAATTCATTAACATGCCCTTTGGTATGGATATATAATAATAAGACCAATTAATCAATCTAAATTAACGTAACTTTTTTACAACTATAACCAGTTCCCACTGGTGGTGAATTTGTAGTGGCAAATGATGATGATGATAAAGAAGATGATGAAATAGGGGGATGGAAATGGGAATAGAATCTGAAAATTCTGGTAACTTGTTGACCTTGAAAATAGGTAAGTCTTAGTTTTCTGATGATGATTAACAATTTCGTCTAATGATAAATACCATGAAGATGAAGATAAAGAGAGAGAGAGAGAAAAACTTTTTCCTGTCTTCATGATTATCTTCATTTTCATCTTATTTTCTAAGTAAAGAAAGAGTTATCATCTTTATCATCCTCATGATGAGGATGAAATTTAGCTTTGACTTCACTTCAGGTTCAAGGTAAATTTATCTCAAGATTGTTGTTGTTGTTTCTCAGCTTGACCATCACTTGATAATAATGGTTCTTGGACCATTGACCTGAACGATATTTACTAAGAAAAGTTTTCACCGCAATTAATTCAATTCAAATGACCAATTTAGTTAATTGTTTTCCCTATCAGTTTGTGACATTTTTATCTCAATCAATTTGATTGTTTTCAGACAACAATTAACTTGTACAAAATGTACAAACCTAAAGTAAATTGGTTACACTGGTGATGACAATTAATATTTATCAACTATTAGAAACATTGAATCACAATTGATTTAATCATCATGATAATAAATCACCTTGAATATTTCCCCATGATGATTATTTAATTGTAATTGAACAATAACAACCGTTAACAATGTAATAATAATTTAATTAACTACATAATTGTAATCATCATCATCGTAATCAGTAAATGAATCACTAATTGTTGTTGAGAAAACAAAAATCAACCCTTTTTAACGGATCATCATTCATTGAATTATAAAACTAACAATTAAGAAATCAATCAATCAATCAATTAGACAATTTATTTATCCTAATATCAAATAGTTGCTTTTAATATTCAACGAAAAAATTAACTAATTGTTCAATGAAATTGTGTACGTAATTACAATTAAATCTCAAAGATTTTGAACCCTTTCAACAATTTAACTATTAATAAGTTAATCATTAAACCGGTTCCTATGTAATCAAATAATGAGAATACAAGAAAAAAAAATTAATTGCCTTGAGGGTTAAT